TCTCTACAGACATACAGACTCTCCACAGACATACAGACTCTCTAGAGTGTAGACTCTCTACAGACATACAGACTTTCTAACAATTCTCTACAGACTCTCTAGAGTGTAGACTCTCTACAGACATACAGACTTTCTAACAATTCTCTACAAACTCTCTAGAGTGTAGACTCTCTACAGACATACAGACTCTCCACAGACATACAGACTCTCTAGAGTGTAGACTCTCTACAGACATACAGACTTTCTAACAATTCTCTACAGACTCTCTAGAGTGTAGACTCTCTACAGACATACAGACTCTCTACAGACATACAGACTCTCTAGAGTGTAGACTCTCTACAGACATACAGACTTTCTAACAATTCTCTACAGACTCTCTAGAGTGTAGACTCTCTACAGACATACAGACTCTCCACAGACATACAGACTCTCTAGAGTGTAGACTCTCTACAGACATACAGACTTTCTAACAATTCTCTACAGACTCTCTAGAGTGTAGACTCTCTACAGACATACAGACTCTCTACAGACATACAGACTCTCTAGAGTGTAGACTCTCTACAGACATACAGACTTTCTAACAATTCTCTACAGACTCTCTAGAGTGTAGACTCTCTACAGACATACAGACTCTCTACAGACATACAAACTCTCTAGAGTGTAGACTCTCTAGAGACATACAAACTCTCTAGAGTGTAGACTCTCTACAGACATACATACTCTCTACAGACATACAAACTCTCTAGAGTGTAGACTCTCTACAGACATACAAACTCTCTAGAGTGTATGCTCTCTACAGACATACAGACTCTCTAACAACTCTCTAAACGCCATCTCGCGGAGTGAGCGAGAGCGGATTTGGAGCTGCGCGCCGCGCGGGTGGTGGGAGCTGTTCTGGCGCGGTGCAGAGAGGGGGGGGGGGGGCTGGAGGAGGGGTGGGGGATGGTGGGGGGCTGGCTAGGTGGTGGGGGGTGATGGTGGGGGGCTGGATATGTGGTGGGGTGCTCTACCGTAGCTGTGAGTCGTCTAATGAGTGCAACGTGGCCCCGGCCCGACAGGGATAACGAGACCCCCCCGCCCCCCCCCCCCCTAATGGAGCGGCACGAGCAGCGGGAGGAGGCCATTCACCTGCAACACCTGCGCCGCGAGCACGTCAAGGGCACGCGCGTGCGTGTGTCTGTGTGTGTGTATGTGTGTGTGTATGTGTGTGTGTGCATGTGTGTACGTGTGTGTGTCTGTGTGTGTGTATGTGTGTGTGTGTATGTGTGTGTGTATGTGTGTGTGTGTCTTCATAGGTGCTCGCTAACAGCACTTGCCCCTACAGTCTGTGAAGGCTATACGGGGGATCTTTGTCTGTGTGTGTGTCTCCATGTGTGTCTGTGTGTGTGTCTGTGTGTGTGTCTGTGTATGTGTCTCCATGTGTGTCTGTGTGTGTGTCTGTGTGTGTGTACGTGTGTGTGTGTCTGTGTATGTGTCTCCATGTGTGTCTGTGTGTGTGTCTGTGTGTGTGTACGTGTGTGTGTGTCTGTGTGTGTATGTGTGTGTGTCTTCATAGGTGCTCGCTAACAGCACTTGCCCCTACAGTCTGTGAAGGCTATACGGGGGATCTTTATCTGTGTGTGTGTCTCCATGTGTGTCTGTGTGTGTGTCTGTGTGTGTGTCTGTGTATGTGTCTCCATGTATCTCTGTGTGTGTGTGTCTCTGTGTGTGTCGCTGTATGTCGGTCTGTTTGTGTCTCTGTGTGTCTGTGCGTGTCTCTATGTGTGTGTGCCTTTGTGTGTGTCTGTGTGTGTGTCTCTGTGTGTGTCTCGAGTATGTGTGTCTGTGCATCTGTGTGTGTCTCTGTGTGTCTGTGCGTGTCTCTGTGTGTCTGTGCCTCTGTGTGTGTGTGTCTCGTGTGTGTGTCTCTTTGTGTGTCTGTTTATCTGTGTGTGTCGCTGTGTGTCTGTGTGTGTCGCTGTGTCTGTGTGTGTGTGTCTCTGTATGTTGGTGTGTGTCTGTGTCTCTGTGTGTGTCTGTGTGCACAGTGTGCGTGTCTGTGTGCAAGAAGACGTGCGTGTACGAGTGTGCCTGTGTATGTGTGTCTCTGTGAGTCTGTGTGTGTCTCTGTGTGTCTGTGTCTCTATGTGTGTCTGTGTGTGTGTGTCTGTGTGTGTCTGTGTGTGTCTCTGTGTGTGTGTGTCTCCGTGTGTGTGTGTGTCTCCGTGTGTGTCTGTGTGTGTCTCTGTGTGTGTGTGTGTGCCTCTGTGTGTGTCTGCGTGTCTCTGTGTGTATGTCTCCGTGTGTGTGTCTCCGTGTGTGTCTGTGTGTGTATCTGTGTGTGTATCTGTGTGTGTGTGCCTCTGTGTATGTCTGCGTGTCTCTGTGTGTGTGTCTCTGTGTCTGCGTGTCTCTGTGTGTGTGTCTCTGTGTGTGTCTCTGTGTGTGTGTCTGTGTCTCTATGTGTATGTGTGCGAGGAGAGCGGTAGTGCAGCGGTTAGCGCGCGGTAGTGCAGCGGTTAGCGCGCTGCACTACGAGCCCGCCCGACCGCCCGACGATTCGAGATCGATATCCCGCTCATGGCTACCATCAGTAACGATTCTCTGAAGCGATGCTGGGCCTCCCCTTTGTCGACTCAGCCTCAAATGAGTACCTGGTGCGATGTGTAAACACCGCTCGCTAACAGCACTCGCCCCTTTACAGTCTATACGGGGGAATGTTTGTGCGTGAGCGGGAATCATCCAGCAGTGGATCGATCATGGCTGCTGCCGCTGCTGCTGCTATGTGGGGGGGGGGGAGGTTGGGGAGGGGAGGAGGTGGGGGGGGGGGGGGTTTGTGGGAGGGGGGGGGCACATGAAGACAACAAAGGCGGAGATTGATTTTGAACGATTGAGCTCACGAGTCTCCATCGAGTTTTCCGACACGGGGTGGAGGGGAGGGTGATGGGGAGGGAGGGGAGGGTGGCGGGGAGGGAGGGGAGGGAGGAGGGGAGGGAGGAAAGGAGGGAGGGAGGTGAGGGAGCGAGGGGAGGGAGGTGAGGGAGGGGAGGGAGGGAAGTGAGGGAGGTGAGGGAAGTGAGGGAGGTGAGGGAACGAGTGAGGGAGGGGAGGAGGGGGGGGGGAGGGGAGGGAGGGGGGGGAGGGGAGGGAGGGGGGGAGGGGAGGGGAGGGAGGGAGGGAGGGAGGGGAGGGGAGGGAGGGAGGGGAGGGAGGGGAGGCCGGTAGGGGAGGCAGAGCGGGCAGGGAGGGGGTAGACGGTGATTGGAGTCGCGCCCGGGGGTGACCGCCTGCGTGGAGACGGAGCGTCGCTGGGTTATTTTTTGTTCAGATGTAAATCAGCTCTTGGGGTAAAGGGGGCATCGCCCCCAGAGCTCCCACCGCCACGCGTGGCCTCGCTCACGCCGCAGCCGAGTCGCAGGGGCCCTCGGCTCACGCGGCCGTGCAGAGAGCCGCGCTCTACCGACGCTTGCACACGCTCGACAACAACAACGACAACAACAACGACAACGACGACGACAACAACGACAACGACGACTACACTGCGCCTCGGAAGAAGAGGCGGCAGCGAGGGACGGGGGTGGGGGGAGCGAACCCCCCACACTTTTACCCTACCCCCCCCACCTCACACTTTTACCTCCACCGCGCCGCGAGCTGGCGATCATCGGTTGACTTTTGGGGACTCCCATTTCTACTGCTGGGTGGCGAGGTCAGAGCAAATCGGCGTCCGTGCAGGCCCCCCCCCCCCCCTCCCACACTCCTCCCCCGGTCTGAAGCCAAATTGGTTGAGAGGCGGGGGGGGGGGGCTACGTTCACTGCTCCTCGACGCCTCTCGCAAGGCGACGCTGACTCATTCTTGCCAGGACCCTTTCTCGCCGGGACCCTTTCTCGCCGGGACACTGGGCGACCGACCGAGTGAGCGAGCGTGATCCTACGGCACCCGTCCTGCTAACAAACCCCGTTGTGACGGTGTCATATTGGGGTTCGGTCTGCAACACGAACGCCACCCTCGCCCCGGCCGGGTCGTTCGGGAGGTAATCTCTCAACTCGGCGCTTGGAATGCCTCGAGCCACGGATCGCCGTACGCGCTTGTTGTTCCGTCTCCGATGAGCACGGTTGGCTAGGAACTGCGCGAAAGAAGTTCATCCCAAGGATCGGCCACTTCCTTGCAACCATGATGTTGGTTTGAGCCGATGGGTTTCCCCTCCACGGGTCTGCGAACCCGTTCTTGGACGTCGGAGGTCGGATCGCCGTTCTTTCCCTGAAGGGTGGTGATAGGTGCGGCGCTGAAAGTTAACTTTTTTTTTCCCTTGATGGTATGAAAAAGTGAATTGTTACCGCGTTCTGCTGAGGCAGTTCTCGTTTTATGGATGATATTGGTGGCGAAAGCCAACGTGTTAAACTGATTTAAAGCTTTCGTGACTGCAGGGATTCGTATTCTTGGTTCTTTCGGTAAAGTCACCACGTAGAAGGGAAACAATAAAATAATAAAAATATAAAACAATAAAATTCTCACGACGCCTCGACTGCAACACAAGCAATCATCATCAGGTGTGCAAACCACAACAAGAACATTTTTTAAAACGTGGCGGGTTTCTTTTTTAACGTTAGCACCACGGACAGCGATTTGACAGTTTGTTCGGATGGACGAGTCCATCTACAACATCTACAACACCACCATCACCACCACGACCACCACCTACAACACCATCACCACCACCATCTACAACACCACCATCACCACCACGACCACCACCTACAACACCATCACCACCACCACCTACAACACCACCATCACCACCACGACCACCACCTACAACACCATCACCACCACCACCTACAACACCACCATCACCACCACGACCACCACCTACAACACCATCACCATCCGGGGCTCCATTCTAACGGGACCTATCTCAATCGGCACCCGGGGCACCACATCGTGCCTTTCTTTCGCCCACCCCCCCCCCCCCCCCCCCCCCCCCCCCCCAACCACCCCCCCCCCCCCCCCCCCACCCCCACAGAGCATCCGCGAGGTGTCGGGCTACGTGCTCATCGTGCTTAACGAGTTCGAGGAGGTGCCGCTCGAGAACCTGCGTCTCATCCGCGGCACGCGCCTCTACGACGACTCGTACGCCCTCGTGGTGCTGCTCAACTACAACAAGTTCCACCACGATCGCGTGGGGCTCAAGCAGCTGCGGTTTGGCAGGCTCACCGGTACGAGGGGTGGGGGTGGAGGGGGGAGGGGGTGGAGGGTGGAGGGGGGTGGAGGGGGTGGAGGGGGGTGGAGGGGGGAAGGGGGTGGACGGTGGTGGAGGGGATGGAGGGTGGTGAAGGGGGTGGAGGGGGAGGAGGGGGGTGGAGGGTGGTGGAGGGTGGTGGAGGGTGGTGAAGGGGGTGGAGGGTGGTGGAGGGGGTAGAGGGTGGTGGAGGGGGTAGAGGGTGGTGGAGGGGGTGGAGGGTGGTGAAGGAGGTGGAGGGTGGTGAAGGAGGTGGAGAGTGGTGGAGGGGGTGGAGGGTGGTGGAGGGTGGTGGAGGGGGTGGAGGGTGGTGAAGGGGGTGGAGGGTGGTGGAGGGTGGTGAAGGAGGTGGAGGGGGTGGAGGGTGGTGGAGGGGGTGGAGGGTGGTGGAGGGGGTGGAGGGTGGTGGAGGGGGTGGAGGGTGGTGGAGGGGGTGGAGGGTGGTGGAGGGGGTGGAGGGTGGTGGAGGGTGGTGGAGGGGGTGGAGGGTGCGGGGGATCTTTGTCTGTGCGACGAACCCGGCCACCCGAGTTCGATTCCCCGGCTCGCGGCCAACATCGGTGGAGCTCATCGCGAACCGCTCCAGTTTTTTTTTGTTTAACCCCCTCTAGGTCGACTCAACCTTAAGTGCGTTCCAGGTGCCTGCGAACGTCACTTGCGGGCCTACCTGGGCGGGCTGAGGGGGGGGGGTGTTTTGGGGGGGGGGGGGTCTCTGCGGGATCGCACTCTGCACAAGGTCACAGCTGATAAACAACGCGGCCCAATTAGCGTGCACGCGCTGCTGCTGTAATTACCGCAGCACGCCGAAAGGTTACCGCGAACTTTAATCAGCCGCGTGGGCACAGCCTTGCCGTGTTCGTCAGGCCCCTAATTGAGATTCGTTAATTGGTTATGGGGGTGCGTTGTGGTGGTGGGGGGGGGGGGGGGTGGGGAGCGGTGGCGCAGCGGTTAGCACGCGGCACTACGCACCGCCCGGTGTCCGTCCTGCGTCTCGCGCGGAGCTTCGATGCGTTTGGTGCCCGTCCACCCGTTTACGGCCCCTGCAGAGGTAGCAGTGGAAATTCCACATTCATATGGCGGCGGCGGCGGCGGCGGTGGCGGCGGTGGCGGGGGACGAGGGGCGGAGATGAGACAACAGCTGTTGACTGCCACATAACGTGGTTTCTTATTTTATCGACCCCGGGGAGAGGGAGGAAGAGATGATGGGCTGTCAACCAATCCAAGTACTGTATGAGTTGAACTCGCAACGTTTCCGATTGTCACCGGGCCCGGCTGACGTCAGTGGCGAATGCTATCTGAATCCACCCCCCCCCCCCCCCCCATCGACCAGCGTGGTGAAGTATGGTCAAACGACGCCCCGTGACCGACACGGCGCATGGGGAGGCTGTCATCCAGCAGCGGAGTGATCAATTCCCGTAAATTATTATCGATATGTTTTGATTCTCAGAATGTTCAATGCGTTCCCACCACCACCACCCCACTCCCCGTGATGAATGCATGGATTGGATGTTCACGTGGGGGGCTCTCGGGCTGCCCCCCCCCCCCCCCCCCCCCCCCCCCCCCCACACACACGCGCCTCCTACCACACCGTTGCGAAAGGAGTTAAAAAGAGAGACACACGCAAAGAGAGACACAGAAAGAGAGAGAGAGAGACAGGGAGAAAGAGAGAGACACACAAAGAGAGAGACAGAAAGAGAGAGAGACAGACAGACAGAGAGACACAGAAACAGATGAAGGCCGCTTGTGTTGTGGCCGAAACGTCGTGAGAATATTATTGTGTTATTTTATTTTATCAATTTATTATTTTATTCTCATTCTACGTGACTTTACCGAAAGAACCAAAGAAGAGACAGACAGAGAGAAAGAGAGAGACACACAAAGAGAGACAGAAAGAGAGAGACACACACACAGAGAGACACAGAGAGAAAGAGAGAGACAGAGACACAGAAAGAGAGAGACAGACAGACAGAGAGAAAGAGAGAGACACACAAAGAGAGACAGAAAGAGAGAGAGACAGACAGAGAGAAAGAGAGACACACGCAAAGAGAGACACAGAAAGAGAGAGAGGCAGACAGAGAGACACAGAAAGAGAGAGAGACAGACAGAGAGACACAGAAACAGAGAGAGAGAGACAGACAGACAGACAGAGAGACACAGAAAGGGAGAAAGAGAGAGAGAGACAGAGAGAAAGAGAGAGACACACAAAGAGAGACACAGAGAAAGAGAGAGAGAGAGACAGACAGACAGAGATAGAGACACAGAGAGAGAGAAAGAGAGAGAGAGAGACAGACAGAGAGAAAGAGAGAGACACACAAAGAGAGACAGAAAGAGAGAGACACACACACAGAGAGACACAGAGAGAAAGAGAGAGACAGAGACACAGAAAGAGAGAGACAGACAGACAGAGAGAAAGAGAGAGACACACAAAGAGAGACAGAAAGAGAGAGAGACAGACAGAGAGAAAGAGAGACACACGCAAAGAGAGACACAGAAAGAGAGAGAGGCAGACAGAGAGACACAGAAAGAGAGAGAGACAGACAGAGAGACACAGAAACAGAGAGAGAGAGACAGACAGACAGACAGAGAGACACAGAAAGGGAGAAAGAGAGAGAGAGACAGAGAGAAAGAGAGAGACACACAAAGAGAGACACAGAGAAAGAGAGAGAGAGAGACAGACAGACAGAGATAGAGACACAGAGAGAGAGAAAGAGAGAGAGAGAGACAGACAGAGAGAAAGAGAGAGACACACAAAGAAAGACAGAAAGAGAGACAGACAGACAGAGAGAAAGAGAGAGACACACAAAGAGAGACAGAAAGAGAGAGAGAGAGACAGAGAGACACAGAAAGAGAGAGAGACACAGAGAGAAAGAGAGACACACAAAGAGAGACAGAAAGAGAGAGAGACAGACAGACAGAGAGAAAGAGAGACACACAAAGAGAGACAGAAAGAGAGAGACAGACAGACAGAGAGAAAGAGAGAGACACACAAAGAGAGACACAGAAAGAGAGAGTGAGACAGACAGAGAGAAAGAGAGAGCGAGCGAGCGCAAAATCCGTTCACCTTACAAATGACGAAAGACATTCACATTTCTGTAGAAATGGACTTTGGATAGAAATTCATCACCCCCCACCCACCACTCCTCCTCGTATCGCTCCTTATCCTCCCCAAATCCCTGCCGCTCCCCATCTCTCCCCCCTCCTCCTCGTCCCCCGGCTCATCCTTCTCCAACCCCCCCAGCCACCACTCCTCCTCATCGACCTCCCCCCCCCCCCCCCTCTCTTCTTCCAACTCCTCCTTTCCCTTCTGCTCCTCTCATCCTCCTCCTCCCCCTGACCCTCCCCTTCGTCCCTCTTCTGCCCCCGCCCCTCCCTCCCCCACCCCCTCACCCCTCCTCCTCCTCCTCACAGTAGATGAGATGCGTGGATCTCAGAGGGTCTGGCCGTATCAATTTGTTCCAAATGAATAAATGAGTGAATGAATGAGTGAGCCGAGAAATCGACCGATTTGGTTTCGTACGAACGCGTGGGGTCACGCGTTGCGGAGCGGAGGGGACGGAGTGTGCACGTGCGTGTCTGTGCGCGCGCGCGCGTGTGCGCGTGTGTGTGTGTGTTTGCGATGGGGGGAGCGGTGGTGTAGCGGTTAGCGCGCTGCGCTATGAACCCCGCGACCCGGGTTCGATTCCCGCTCACGGCCAACACCGGTGACGATTATCTTAACCGGTCCTGGGCCTCCCCTAGGTTGACTCAGTACCTGGTGCGGTGTGTAGTAAACATCGCCCCTGGGGAGACAAAGGCCGTCGGGCGTGGTGCTGGCCACCCACCGCCTCGTGTGTACCGTTCCGGCCTTCATAGGTGCTCGCTAACAGCACTTGCCCCTACAGTCTGTTCAGGCTACACGGGGGGGATCTTTGTCTTTGGTGCGAGTGGTGGTAGTGGTGGTAGTGGTGGTAGTGGTGGTAGTGGTGGTAGTGGTGGTAGTGGTGGTAGTGGTGGTAGTGGTGGTAGTGGTGGTAGTGGTGGTCGTGTGAATGGTGGTGGTGGTGGTGGGTGGCGTGAGTGCCGACGTTCCATCATCGAGGAACCCCTCGATGTGGACCGATCGTCACAAACAAGATTACTCCACAACCGCCACCACATCGCTCGAGGGGGCCTTCAATCGGCGGCGGGCTGCACGCCTTCGCCTTGCCCCCCCCCCCCCCGCATGGCGAGACGGGGCCAATTACACAACAGAGCCCGTGGAGCCTTAACGAGTAATTAGTTCGCTTCCACTATTTCCATCCCCGGAGCTCCAAAATATATATTTTTTTCACAAAGGACTCAATTTCTAATGGAATAACCACGGCCCTACCCCCCCCCCTCTCCCTCCTCCCCCCAACGCGAGCAGCCTGGACAATTAACATCAAGCATCTGTGTGTGTTTGTGGGGTGTGTGTGTGGGGGGGGGGGTCTCTGGAATTCGTGGGCTGATGTTTATCAAATGTCACGGTCTTAGGGGTGATAGAGGCGAGCCTCGGAGTGGTTCGTTAATGAGGGCTGCCGCGTAGCTTTTGAGAATTAGAGAATTCCTTCGTGATGAATGGTAATGATGATTATGACGATTATGGCGATCGCCGTGAGGGTCTAGCGGTTAGCGCCCCCCCCCCAACCCCTCCTGGACTCGCGATCGTCCACAGGTCGCGGGCTCGACCCCCTCGCCAGCAGCGTCACGCGGCCGCGTGAAATATAAACATGACGTCATAAAGGGATGTCTCAACCAGCCGGTGGCGAGTGGGCGAGGGGGGCGAGGGGGGCGAGTGGGCGAGGGGGGCGAGTGGGCGAGGGGGGCGAGTGGGCGAAGGGGCGAGTGGGAGAGGGGGCGAGTGGGAGAGTGGGCGAGGGGGCGAGTGGGCGAAGGGGCGAGTGGGCGAAGGGGCGAGTGGGCGAGGGGGGCGAGTGGGCGAGGGGGCGAGGGGGCGAGTGGGCGAGGGGGCGAGTGGGC